AAGAATAATTAGGTCAAAGAATGTTTTTTCTTAAAGTACTTGATGCATATTACTATTTTGTTTTCCAGAAATTTTTGATAAACATTTTAACAACCATTTTTAATTTTTTACCATATGCATAATACTTGTGGGTTTAGGTTGGGAGTAGGTAGGGATGACAAGTTGGGTTGGAAGATGAGATGTAGATGTTAAAAAGACCTAAAAGAAAGTAAGACTGTAAACAAATCACAAGGAGCATTGTGGAAAGAACTGACTGGGGGTTAAATCTAAGAGCAGCCACGGTCAAGTTACTAAATGGGAGCCGTAGCATTTTAAAATCCTAACTCAAAGGAGTGATGCAAGGTTTTGTGTCCTAACTGGCTTGGAGGGCAGGGAACTGAGGTCTGGGGATTGGGCATGGGTGGGTCTTCTCCAAGGTCACAGAGCTAGTTAGTGACCGAATGAACCTGGTCTTCTGATCCCACGGTCAGTTCACTTTGCATCACAACACACCGCCTCTCAAGACAAGGTATACACACGCACGATAAAGCGTCAGATTACCACATCAGGCATGGTGTAATTAAGTGATGAAATGCATAACAGAGACGCACGCTTCCTGAGTTAGTGGTTCTCTACCCAGGGACTCTGAGTTGGGTCAGGTACATTTCAAAACAGTTACTGAAAATGTGCTCTGTCTTTGTCCCCATGACCTCCCGTGTACTGACTCATGGTTTTCCGCTAACCTTACCTGTGATTCAAATCTTCCATCTGGGGATTCTAGCAGACTGTTACACTGTCACAACTGATACTTCTCTTGATGTTTTTCCCCTGTCCTTCAACAAGTGTTTTGGATGGGCTCCTCACGTTTAGTGGAAGGCTTGGCATTTATTAATTTTAAAGACTGATTGAGCCTTACTTGGCACCAGCACTGTTCTAGCTCCTGGAGGTCAAGCTATGCACGAGGAAGGCACCGCTGCTTCACACTTCAGCGAAGGGAGACAGGCAAAAACTGAGACAGTCCATGGACACAGTAACTTCCAAGAGTAACATATATTTTAAGGAAAGTGAAACAGGTTAATATGATGGTGGTGAGGCGTGCGCTTTCTTTAGGTTCACGGACAGGAAGGGCTCTTTGAGGCGATGTTTTTCAGTTAAGACCAGATGGCAAGGGGGAAAACCCTTAGGGAGAGTATTCTGTACAGAAGGGATGCCAATGCAAAGGTTCCAAATAGGGGATAAGCTTGACACGTTCAAGAAGCAAGAAGGCATGTGTGGCTATAAGGTAGTGAGTGAGGGCGAGAAAGAGAAAAGGTGATCTTAGAAACACAGACGGGCCGGGTCCTGTGGGGTCTGGAAACCTGCCTGTCACTCACGGTTCCGAGCGCCTCTGCATCCTCACCTCGGATTAGTCACCGCATGTCCCAGACCCATCCCCTCCGTTTTCTGACTGGAACTCCCCTTTTTAGGCCTTCATCTTGTCTCTCTAAGATACAGGTGGTCTTCTCACCCTTTGCCTTAACTTCGGATTTTTCTTACCTTCATTCACTCCTACACAAACGTAGGAGGGATCTTTCTAAATGCTGTCTGACTCGACCACTCTAGCTTTCAAGTAACAGGTGGAAAAGCCCTCTCCAAGCAAATAAACCCCTTCATATCTGGCCCCGCCTCCTTTCTTACCACGCCCCTCACCTCTCTTCATGTCCCTTCCATTTTATCCCCTGTTCTCGGGTCCGCTGGTTCTCGAGCCATCCGCAGTTACCCCCGCAAACTAGCCGTGCTCGTTTTCGCCCTTGTACCAGCGTCTCCCTGTGCCAAGCCCTCGTGATCTGTCTTTCCTCCTTTTCTCCTCCCTTCCAGTGCCCCTGCTGCCACAAGGGATGGAGCTAGCCGTCCTCCCTGGTGCCTTAGCACTCTGCACTTGAAATCACTGTACCTTCTACTGCACATGTGTCTGTGCGTGTCTGTCTCTCTCACTAGCACAGGAGTTCCCTGGCGATAGGGTCTGATTTGCATCTCTGTTCCTGGAATTAGGATGAGGGCAGTGCTAGGCACAGAGGAGGTGCTCTGTGAACGTGGGAGCGTGGTGCACATCCTGTTTGGGTCCTGAGTGGTGATGCATTTGGGCAGGAGGGGCCTTGAGGTACTTTCTGGGTCCTTCTCTGGTGTTGTTGGGGCAACTTCATGGTCTCAGAAAATCTATTGAAAAAACATCGTTGTATCGGTCTCGGTATTTACGGAAGTTACTAAAAATCTCCTTAGTGCTTTGTCTAGACATAGTAGAGGCTAAATAAATATTTATTCAATTAATGAATGAACAATTTCCATTTCAAAACAGCCCTGGCAAGGAGAAAACCCTGTTGAAGAATGAAATACCACTTTTGTTCTCCAGTGAAAATGGGGAATATATTTCTTCAAGTTTTTTCTTCTTCTTTTTCTTTTTTTATCTTTTTGTTTGTTTGTTTGTTTGTTTTGGTGGGGGGGTAATTACTATTTTTTAGTTTTTTCTTAATGAAGGTACTGGGGATTGAACCCAGGACCTTGTGCATGCTAAGCATACACTCTGCCACTGAGCTATACCCTCCCCGACTTCAAGTTTTTTTTTTATAGCAAAGTCAGAATTTATTTGATATTTGGATTATTCACATTGTACCTGAGTCCTTTGCTTAAATTCTTCTCAGAGCACTTCACATACGGATCCTAAATGTATTTTGTGTGTGCGTGTGTGTGTATGTGTGCCTGTTTATTTTCTTATGTTTGTAGAAAGGAAATACTGTATTTACATCTCACTTCAGCTTTCTCAGAACTCCCTACTGTCCCAGGAACAGGCAACATGCAAGTTAACTATTTCCTCACAAACCTAGAGCACATTTTGTCATTCTGACTTCCTGCTTGTCCTTGTGAACAAACGACTTAGGCTAAACATGTGTGCCTTGAGCTGTCATTTCTTCAGGACTTCAGGATTTTTGTGTGGTTGATTTGATCACATCTGAATGGAGAGACTTTTAAAAATTAAAATATTGACTAAATGAATTAAAGAAAAACATTTTGAGACAAATTAAGATGAAAGCTGATTGATTCATAAACTTAAGAACTTGATCAAACATAATGTAGTGATCTATTTAAAAATTCATCACCAAGAGGAGCAGATGTACTAGATATGATTGATCTTGAGTTACTTACCATCATCACACTGTTAAAAATTCTGAAGATGAATTGAAAAAAAATCAATGACTGCAGACATGTGAAGGATACTTTCATTCTTATTGTGATTTGGATGTTATGTGAAAATTGCAAAGTTATGACTAGTTCTCCGAAACTGGCAGAACAAAGAGGATATGTCTTGTATATATTATGAAAACCACAATTCTCGTCAAATGGAAGACATTTCTGCATAAAACGCTCAGATATGTTAGTGAATGTGGTGTTTCTTTTTCCTCCCGCATTTTAGCATCAAGCAATCTAGACTATGTTTTTTAGAAACATATTCCCAAACCAAGATCTCTCTTGATGTGTAGATAATGTAAGATTATTTTTAGTATTAAATAATACTGGCCAAAAGAAAACTGCCCCACCCAGGACTGGAGAGTAGGAGGGAGTCAAAACAAGGCAAATATTAAAATACAAATTCAAAACTCTTTTTTTCTGCACTCTACAGGTAGTGCTAAAGCATGGTCAGGTTTCAGAAGCACTGGCAAGAACCCAGTTCTCTCCACCTGGGATTAATTGTAACATCTGTCAGAATGCCTCTGTACTAGGTATGCATGCTGAACAGGGTCCCTAGCTGGTGGGAAGGGAGAAGGGAGCAGGCATTTCTCTCTGCCTTCCTTCGTGTGATGATAGGTTGGTCTATGGTATTTGGACATGAGCTGGCTGCAATATCTAGTTTGCCCTACTGGAATTGTCATCTGACAGAGTTGGTGGGAAAAACGGAGATTATTTTAGTGTCATTTATCATTTCACAGTTGAGGGCACATTTATATAGATATTCAGTTACTTAGCAAGATCATACAGATAGTTCTGGAAAGATTTGAGAATAGCACTCAGGTCTCCTGAGACCTCACTCAGTGCTTTTCTCATTAGAAGGGGGGAAAAAAAGGCCCTTTATACTCAGAATTCAACCTAATTTTCCAGCCTCATTTCCTATCACTTTACTCTAGACATGCTTTTACCTTCCTCAGAACCTGGGGTATTTCATAATACAGTAGATACCAGTGTAATGCCAGTCCAGTGACCCTTCCTTCTTTCTTCTTTTGGTAAACACCCTTGACTAGTCATTGTGAAAACGCTTACTTCACTGTCTGCTGGTTTGAATGCTTTCACCTCAGTCCCTGGCTGGAGAAACGGGATATCATCCAAACCATTACCGATTCCAAATTCATTCTGCTTGCTGCACAACAGGCTGATAAATCGGGAGATGAGGTGATGGGGCAAGGAACAGTGACTTTATTTGGAAAGCCAGCAGACTGAGAAGATGGCAGACTAATGTCCTGGAGAACCATCTTCCCCAAGTCAGAATTCAGGCTCCTTTTATATTGAAAAATGGGGAGAGGGTATGGTTGGTTGTTGCAAACTTCTTGGTCTAGGAATTCTTTGTTCTCAGAATCCTTTGTTCTTGCAGCTGTCCACATTGGTTAGATCATGGTGCCCCTGTAAAATGTCCAACAAGACAAAAGATATTTTCTATTCTTCCACTTGTTATCTTTATATAAGTGCAAAAATGTTAATATCCTTAAAGATCAGAGCCTTGAGAACAGGCTCTCCTGTAGATTTCAGGCTATAGGCAACATTCTTTTACAAAAGGTGCACAGCTAGCAAGACTAAGCCTAGAAAACAGGGCACAGGGTTAAAGCCAAAGGAACAGATCTAATACGAAGTCATATTTGTTCTTCTTTATTACAAAATCAGGGCAATTAAAGACAGTGTTTGGTCCAAGGAAGACAGGGACTCATCCAGGCCAGTGAAGGTCAGTAGGGCACTTTGTTGGAACCACTGGGAAAGAGCCACTCTCTCCATCGTGGTCCTCATGGGCAGGAGGTAAGCTACTGCCGCTGGTGGCCAGATATGGGAGCTAGTGGGGACACCATGCCTCAGAATGAAGCCAACACAGAAGAAAAAGTCACGTAGGGAACTGAAACTGATCCCTGGTGGCTCAGCTAGAGTGTCTGGATCCAGTCATACCATTTCCACATCTACTCCTGGATTTTTCACTTACAGTCAATAAACTGACTTTGGGCTTAAGGTGAAATGATTGGGCTTTTGTTTACCTGCAGATAAGAGAGATACTGTTGAAATCCGTGATTCTGTTACCTTGCCCCTACTTTACCCTTCCACCATAATACCCATTCTCTGTTTTTCCTTCTGAAAAGCTATTTATTACACAAAAGGCACAAATTGTCACCCGTGGTTATGTTTATCCTTCACACAGATCAATCGCCTGGTTATCATCAGCTCTGCCCTGATGATCATTACGTTCAGCATGTTGGAAAGTATTTTTCATAACTGTTAAAACACTAGTCTAGGCCCTGGAAATGTCATCGAACAAAGATTCTTGCTTTTGTGGTGTTTAACTTTTTGTGCAGGAAGGAATAATTTTTAAAAATATGAAAAACAACATAAATTATTCTGTGGACTAGAAGGTGATAAGTGTTATGTTAAAAACACCAAATAACAACAACAACAGCAACAACGTTGGAGAGTGGGAGTACTAGCAATGCCAGGGGTGGGAGGATCGCAATTTAAAATAAAACTCATTAGTAGTAGCAACGGAGCAAAGATGAGTGGTGAGAGAGTTGGGCTGGTGACCACCTAGGGAAAGAGTGTTTTACTCTTTCAGAATAACCAGTGCCAGAGGCAAAAATGGAGCGTCTCTGTGTCCCAGGAACAGCATGGAGACCAGCGTAGCTATGGCAGAGCCAGCAGCGGAAAGAGAAAGTCAGAAGGATCACGGGACTTAGATCACTTTCCATTTGTGAGCATTCGCATCTGTGAGCACTTTGTCTTTTACTCCATGACATAGAGAGCATGTCAAGTTTATTTTATTTATTTTATTTTTCTAGTCTATTTGATGAGATTATAGCAGAGGGGTGATGCAATCTGATTGGCATTTTAAAAAAATGTCTACAGGTGGTGTGTTGAGAATTAGGGAAGTATGGAAGCAGGGAGACCAGTGAGGAGGCCATGGCTGGGAACGTCCACAGATGCTCAGCTCCACATTCAGTCTTCCCAACGCTTCTCTGGATCATGAGTCTGGGCGCTTGCAAACTTCTCCCTTGCCAGCTGGCTTCCACATAGTGTCTGCCAATGGAAAGTATGGTGGGAGAGTGAACACAAGAGGAAGGGAGAAGCCATTTTTCTGCTTCTGGTGGTGCCTCCAGTCATGGTGGCAGTAGGAGCAGTGGGTAACTGAGTGTCTAGAGGATGGAAAGGCCATCAACTGATATGGACATGAATGCAAATGGAGCGTGTGTGGGAAAAATGTGGTGGGTGAAGAGGATTTCAAGTGGGGATATGTGAAGATTGAGATGCTATCCCCATGGAGTTGTCAATAAGTGACTGGAGAGTCTGGAATTCAAGAATGAGGTCTAAGCTATAGATACAAGTTTAGAAGTTAATGATGCTAATTAAAGTCATGAGATTGGGTAAATTCATTGAAGAACAGAGAAAAAGAATACCACTGCTAGGATCCTGGGGCTCTCTGACATTCAGAGCTCAGGGAGAAGAAGAGAAACCAGCAAAAGAGATGGAAAAAGACTGACTAATGATGAAAGATGAAGACTTCAGAAAAGAGGCAGTGACTAATCATGTCAAATCAGCAGATGAATCAAAAAGATGACTGAGAATGGACAGCTGAGTTTAGCAATATGGGGTAATTGGAGACTCTGACAAAAGTAGTTTTTATAGAGTGTGAGGGTGAAAATCTTGGCAGCAATTTATTCATTTACTCATTCATTCAAAAGTATTTATGGAGCATCTGCTTTGAACCAATCATTGGGGGATTTGAGGTGAGTAAGAAAGACTTTGCCCGACCTCTCCAAGTGTAGGGTGTTCTACTGTAATGACGGGCTATGATTTCATGCATGGATTAGCTTTAGAACACACCCTTACAGTACGTGTGCGTGTGCACATGCATCCACAAACATGAAGACTGAAGAAAGCAAGAAAGGCCCAGGCCACGGGAGGCTGACTGGAGCCCATAGGACACACTGGAACAGGCCCTGCCTCTGTAGGCTAGAACTTGCTATACACTATTTAGCTTAAGAGTTGAAGCATCTGGCATCTTTAAAAAGAGATTACTGATTCTCTTTTTGTTTTCATTTGGGGAAATATTTGACCAGGTGCCATAATTTGATTTAAATCTGATTTTATCTCTGCAGTGCTTAGATAGTTTAATTGCTGGTTTGATCAGGCACCTAGAATGTGAATTGTTGGAAAAATAACATGTTGATTTCTTGTAGGCAGGATTGTTTCCATGGATTCTCTCTTGAATATGAGTATGTATTCATGACTCTCCAGAGACTAGAACTTGCAAAACAGTATTTTGTT